TCGCTAAAGTTTCGTCGGAACGAAGTTACGCAAAATTAATTAACAAACGGAGACGTAACAATACTATAGTGGCGTTTGTTTATCAAGAGAATGATACTAATATCACAATACTATGGAGACCCGTCTCTCAAATAACATCAGCTGTATCAAAACAGTAGCTTCATTACTTTTATATTGCGCATACACAGTACCTTCAATAACATAACACAATATCAACGTTGTAACATCAACAGTACAGTGTTGTGATACCATAGTGCCTTTCATGCTATAATACCAAATTAAACGTGGGGACCTCTATATTAAAGTATTGTGTTAACCCAGGGCATTCACTGTTAATGTCTTTCGATGGCTCGGAATTAAACTTGATAGCTTTTAAGGTTAAAATTCGAAGCTCAATCCATGCAATGGACACAGCCCATATAGTCCATTTTATAGCTTTGCACTTAACAACAAACAAATGAATAAACTTTTACAGAAGACCGGAGGTTAAAATGTATGTACACCACTATTAGCATAAGGAGTTGGGTATTTTGGATGATAAAATATATCGTTGAAACTATTATTCAATTCTTATTAATAAATGTTCAATAAATGTTATGGTTTCGGCGTTATTTGTACAACTTGAACGTATATTGCTTATTCTAAATGAACGGTTTATATAGTTCCTTAAATACATTGATTCAAACTTTCAATAAGATGGAAATTGTAATGTGGAAGCTTAGTTCCCTCAAAAAAGTGGAAGTTAATGAACTGACATGATGGGGAGATTGAGAATTTGACTGTGTTCATTGTCTTCACTTAATGGTTGATTAGTAAACATACAGTAAAACTGAGGTTCTTTTATATTACCTTAACTTCTTCTTCGTGGAATATTTCTAGATTTGCTTGTTACTTGACAACTCCCAATAGTGTAGGAGAACGGTACATCGGTAGGTTTAGAAAATAATTACGAAAGCGTTATTAATACAAACACACCAACCTAACATAAATATTTATACAGGATGTCGCCTTTACCTTTGTTGAACGCCCTCTATCACACGTGACTTTTGTTTAAACAATTTAAAAGCCAACATACATTGTTCTGTGTTTAGGAAAGTTTGTCTTTCCTTTAAGAACTAAATACCTGCCAAGGTGTTTTGTTATTTTCTGTGTTACCTTAGCGCAATGCAATCGGTGTGAGGGTTAATGCACATGAACACGGTTTGGGTAGTTCGTGTTTGTTTAGTAGTTTGTGAGTTTGGAAAGATCGTTTTCAAAAGTTCTTTTCGAATTGGAGTTATTTTATGTTGCATATACTCTTATGGCTTTTCTGTTCCATTAAGTTTTGTTTTGGCTAGATCAACCTTTCATAAGGTTTCAAAAAGCCCATAAACTATAACATTGGTACAAACTTAAAAAAAAAATTACTGACTTCGTAGTATTGCTTTGCAACTATTTTATGCTAATGAAAATCTTTAGTGTTAGCACTGTAAGTGTAATTTTGAATACTGAATAATGAATATTAAACGTGCAAGTAAATCAAATGGGGTCTAATAATTTTCCAAAACTGCGTTTCGTTATCAGTTCACTCTGACGTATGGTACGGTACGACTATTTGTTTGTGTGTGTAGAGGGCGAAGGCAAATCGAATTTTGCGATTATGCCTGTTTTAACTTCTTTCTTTTTTCTCATGTTGAAGCTATGTAAGTCTTACCTTTTAACAGTGAATTTCAATATTCCCCCTTTCTTAGAATCGCATAGTAAAATGTTACTGACTGAGCATTAACTTTAAACTAAAATTGGAATGTCAGGGAAGGTGAGGTGTCAGCTCACACACCCCATAACACAAGAACCAGTGCAGGTTGACTAAGAAATAAAGGGTGACTCATCAGGGGGGAGGGGCGTAAGGTCACCCAAGGGCACGAGAACTAGTACAGATTGGCCCTAATACAAAGGATAACTAGTAGGGGGCTAAAATTCGAAGAGTGCCGTGTTTCAAAATGTGGTATTCAGGTACACTGGTATCTGCATCTGTAGGGTAGTTAAAAGTACGTGCAATAACGCACATTGAAGAAATGTACTGCAGAGGATAATTTTAAACAAGGACAGCAAAGGAAAAAACAGAGAAACAGATACAAGTGAACAAATAAACGAAATATTTATTCTCTATAGTTTCATTTTATTACGTATTGGCCGACTTCTTCTCGGTTCTTTGTTATTACTCCACCAGCTGGAATGAAGGACAGAATTTCCTGAAGTTCGCAAAGGATAAGCATAGAACGAATTATGATATACTGCACCTTCAAACCAAATAAAGGATGTATCAAACGCTATTCCATGACACAATGCCAAATATATTACCAAATTTTCCAAATAAAATCTCAACACACCAATCCGTACAAGTATAAAAGTATTGTGTCATCCCTGGAGGGAGAGAACTGAAAGACACAATGCCGAATTGATACAAGCTTCTAGCCATTGCCATATGTAAAACTTACTTAAGTAAATGGATTAGCGCGTATTCACGATTTGACAACATCCGGTTAACGAGAACAACATCTCCACGAAAATTTAGAAAAATTACCTGAATGAACCTGGAAAAAATAAAAATAAATTCTATACTGATTATGGAAGTTTCGATAATCCCCCAGCTCCATTCTTATCTGATGGTGTTCCAGATCCGAACATTAAATTTAAATATTAATAGCCAAATTTAGTAAAGTTACTT